AAAATAAAATAAAATTGAATAAATATCCTGCTTTAAGGTAAACATGTTTTAAGGTAAGTTGTAAATATTTCTTTAAATATTTAAAATACTACTTSTATTGAAATTATGCATATCCTGTTATTGAGTTTGTTATATCAATCACTGATAATATTTTTAAAAATATTAGAACATTATTATACATACATACATTAGTTCATACACATATGTATGTATGTACGTATTTTTTATTTGAAATTCCAACGTACGTATTTTTTATTTGAAATTCCAATTTTTCTGGCAATTTGTGTATCCATCACAAAAGGCCGGCACGGGGCCAAAGACTTAATCAACTCAATTTTTGATATAATGTTTCCAAGAGAACCAGAGCAAATATTTATTAGCCAGAAGAGAGGCAAGGTTGGGCTGTAACCAAAACTCCTCAGCCGACTTTCTAAATAGTTTTTAACCGTTCTTGCAACATGATTCCAAGCGTTGTCATGATGCAAATTAAGGACGCTTTTCGACAATCAGCACTCTACAGTTTAATGGGTTGCTGTCGTTTTCCATTAATGCTTTTATCCGGTTTTAGAAATTCACAATAGAACAAGACCTTCCGATTAAACCAAATATAGAGCATTTTCATGTTTCATGCTTCAAAAATGATTTTATATTATATATATCCTATATTCCAGCCGCTGTATTTTGTGTGGCTAACGTATGACACTGGAATATCTCCATTTCCAATGCGCAAAGTATCAGTAAAACCTTTCTCTCGAACACTTCTAAGGCCGCCTCATCAGATAATATCATTATTCATGCCACCTCATCATATAGCAGACGAATGAGGGATGATAGAGTTTGGCCTTTGTTCGTCGAGGGAGGACTTTACTTTTCAATTGTCTACACAGTCCAAAGTTGAATCTGTTGGCAAGACTGACTCTGCGTTGGATTTCAAGGCTGATAGGGAATTTTTTTCAGCGAATTTCGCTATTGTATCTTAATTGATTTGAGACAAAAAAAAAAAAATATCACTTTCTTACCCCCTTGATTTCATATACCAAATAACAGTTTCATATCTTAATTGAATGCTTATGGATCACATAATAAATTTTTGTTAAATGCCGTTTTCTGGGTAAAGCAATCGTCCGTTTACGCCCATCTACGAGATTGTTCTCCTTTTTTTGACTCAAGTTGTCGCTTGTACGGACGAACAGACAGACAGTTGCTCGGATTTCATGCTCTCTTTTTATCCTGATCATATATAATATTTATACATATACTACTGTGCCTCAAAAAAGGTGACATTTGAATTTAAACTGCGCGCGTCGAAGGATTTGGAGAATTATTTTTTTTTTAGGTTGGTAGTACTGTCAGTCACATTTATGTCAAATTTCATATCAAAATATTCATTAGTGTTTGACATACGTCTCGTTTGATGAGCTACTAAAGGTGAGTTTTTCGTTTTTTGCGATGTCGAAATTTGTTGAGCAAAGAATTTGCATTACATTTTGTTTACGGAATCAATTTTCTGCTGCGGATACGTTGAGGATGGTGCAGAAAGCCTTTGGTGATGAGGCTATGTCTAAAAAWTTTTTTACAAGTGGTATAGTGAGCTCCAAGTCGGCCGTGAAAGTGTCGAAGACGAAGAGCGTCCAGGGCGACCATCAACCTCAACCGTCGAAGCTCACGTTCAACAAATCAAAGATTTGGTGTTGAAAAACCGTCGATTAACAATTAGAGACCTTGCTCATGAAGTCGGCATATCGAAAGGCTCAGTCAATACCATTTTTAAGGATGTTTTGGGCCTCAAGCGTGAAATCTCGACTGGTACCGAAAACATTGAATTTTTTGGAAAAAAGGCGTCGCGTTGAGTGTGAAACGATGCTTTCCGACTACCAGGGTGTGATCTATGTTTACGACCCCGAAACAACCGATCAGTCGAGCGAATATCGTGCCAAAAAAGAGCCGAGACCAAAAAAATCGCGCCAAAGTCGCTCAAAAATTAAGGTAATTTTGACTGTTTTCTTCGATTTTCGTGGTGTTGTGCATTATGAATTCCTTCCAAYCGGTCAAACAGTCAACAARGAATATTATTTGAACGTTATGCGTCGTKGGCGTAACGCTATCCGCCTAAAAAGACCGGAATTGTGGAAGGTGTTGGTTTTTGCACCACGATAATGCACCTGAAGGCCATTCCGGAAAGTGACTACAACCAGTGTTTCGAAGATTGGAAAATCCGTTTGGCATAAGTGCATTGCGTCGGGAGGGGATTAMTTTGAATGGGATGAAATTGATTTGGAAGAATAAATAAAGAATTTTCAAAATAAATACAATGTCCCCTTATTTTCTGGACACACTRCACACCTTAGAGTCAATAAGATCAGCTGTTGTCATCAAACGAAATTACTTAGTAAACGGCGTAAAAGTTGTAAAGTTGTTAAAAGCTTCTTACATCGATTGGTAACCAGTTGAGGAGTAAGCTYCGATTTGTATAATTTTTGAAGTTTGAATAATTTTTGTTGCCGCCCAGCGCATGTTCGAAAATGCAACCCAACGAATCAAACTAACTTTGGGCTTTTAATTTCATACGGATACTTASACACATAAATTTTCACCTCTAATACTTACCCTTACCATTGCATTTACAAAAAATTTAAAACCCAGAAATAAGTGTTGAAGTATTTCTTTATTTATAGTTCTTATCATAAGCATACACAAAATTAAAGTGGCTCAATTTGCAACAAATATTTCACAAACCCGTTAAAATTGCAGCGAAATAAGTACACAAATCATTACATGCACATACCTACTGTAATTTGCGAAATGTACATTTAGGTAATAGAAATTTTTAATGCAAAATTCATTTAAATTGTTTTCTTTTTTTGTTGCTTTCTTCCATTTCTTTACATTTACATTGCTTATATATATTATATAGTATATTGTTGTTTCATTGTTATTGTATTTCAACTGTGGAGCTGTAGTTTGAGTTTAATTAAAATTTATTTATAGTACAGTTTTGCTCYAATGCCAGTGCATAAACTTAAGCTAATCAAAACTAAAATAGGAYGCAGTTAATCTACAGACACTTGAGTAAATAATTAAGAATTGCGAACGTTCTCTACGCAACACTCAATTTTTATGCGCGATTTCAAGRCGAAGTTACCAACGTTGCCTAAGATTAAAACATTTTTCGTTGTTGCATTGCTTTTGTGTTAGTGTCAGCTCAAACGCACGAAGTGAAAATCACAGCGCAAACTCTGCGCATGCGTGCATTTACTTTGATATGATTCCCATAGTGATAAGGACTAATTAAAATAAAATCGTATTTTTAAATCACATATTATACAATTAAGTGTGTGTGTGTGTATTATATTATAAATTCTACAAATTAAAGTAATTGAATTTTAAATAGTAACTGCCTTCAGCAGTAATGCCATCTCGGCTTCATAATGCCTTCTAAAATATTAATTTGCTTTGTTTTTCAAAGCTTACAAGTTCGCTCTGTGTTTTTTCAATTGTTTTCCAATGCCATAATTTTAATACATTTCTAAGTACTAGTACTAAAACTTAGTTACATATATAATGGTATACAATTTATTTAAAGCGTAGCACCCTGTTTGCGGCGTTTCGAAAAACAAATCTTTACAATTTACAGGCTCTACCCTACACAAAAGAAACTAAGTGGAGAACACCCAAATGTGTTGTGTGGGCGCTCCGCTACTCTACACTACAATGATCTAACTAGACTTCGATGAAAGCCGGCTCAGTGCAATTGCGCTCGTCTTTTGTCTCCCATTTTCTTAACGATTCTCACACTAAACTTTCAACTTGTTGCCGTTGAAGGCATGGAAAATCCGCTTACTCAGTCAACATACCCTAATTGCAAACACATATCTATCTATCTAGCTATCTGAAAGTCATTACCTGACCTGGACCTGAGCTGCAGTTGCTCTCGATCATTTCTACTTTGTTTCATCAACAAACACCAATATAGTTTTAATAAAACGCCATATTTAGAGCTTTGCTTGCGGTCGCAAAGTTTTCACTACTTTAACAATCACTTTGTATGAGCGCTTCGCTGAGCGCATTCAGTTGTTCTTCGCCACATTTGATCTTGTCGGCGACGTCGCGCGTATCCGCTATTAATTTCGCCTTCATATTGATGAAATAGTCGAAATCGGCAAAATCATCGGCGCTGAGTGTTTTCTCGACGATGTTAACCACGCTGCTACCACGTCGATCAATATCCACCTTAAGACGCTTCGCTTCAGCCAACTGATCGAGTAGACGATCGCGTTTTAACTCGAGTGATTTCTGAAAAATAGAAAAAAAGGGATTTAATGAATGAATATGGTACGTTTAATACAGAACCACAATTCTAGATAGTTCTAACCTTTTAAGAAGTTATTAAAAATGCTGGAAGATCTAAATTTATTTTTTAGGTAATACTTTAGTCTCTTTCTTACCTTTTCGGCGCTATTCTCAGCTGAAACGGCGCTCAAACTATTCTCTATGCGCGCTAATCGTTCGGAGAGCGAAAGCAGCAAACTGGTAATCTGTCCGACATCATCGATATAGGTGCGACATTTAGTTGCTTCGATTGGCCGCACCTTATCCGTCAGCTTGCCGACTAGAGTGTTGCCCAATTCATCGTTGTGTTCAGCCTCCGCCTTGAGTGTCGTTTGTTCCTTATTAAGTATGCGTATTTTGCGATTTAACTGTTTCATAAGTTCATTCTGCAATAGAAATAAAACATTATAACTTAACTCTAAATAAATTAGGTGATGCTGACATACCACTTTYGTCTTCAGCAAATCGCTCGTCTCCGATTCGCTATCGCCGTTAGTCAATAGTACTTCCACTTCAGCATATTGTAGCTCAACGGTGAGCTTTTCCTGTGCATCAAGTCCCTTCATGCGCAGCAGCGTTGAAGTGCCTACATCCCGTTTAGCCGGTCGCAATGGCACATTCGGATTATATAGRTTACTAACATAGTCTGTGGGTAATTTGTGTGTAGGCGGCGCTAAAATTCGCACCAATTTCTCATTTGTGCCCAAGAGCGTAGCCAATTCCTGTGACATTTCCTCGCAATCAATCTCGATCGGATGCCGTTGACGCGGCTGTAATGTTATGCGTTGTTGCTGTGCATCTTCCTTGCTTTGTGGTTGTTCGGTGAGTCGTGTATGTTCGTCTGCATCGTTGGTTGCGGCGATCAGTTCGTCGTCGGTTTGTGAAGCTGCCTCCGTGGTGGCGGGATTCACGCGTAGTATGACTTCGCTGCGTTGCACGAGTTTTAAGCTCTCGGTGCTGGTATTCAGCTCGGTCGTTTGTGTTGCGCTGAGATCTTCACTTGTGGTATTTGTGCTGGCGACGGTAGTGGCTGGTTGAGGTAGCGAAGCATTTGCTGTTGGCGAGGTTGGCGTGGCTGCTGTATTTGTAGGCGATTTCAGCGGCTGTGGGCTGTTCGAGTCCACTGCGCTATTTTCCATATTCTTGTGGCATATGTTGTCGTTTTGTTCTTGCGTCAGCTCGACACTACTATCACTAGCCTGTTTCACGGTACTATCATCTGTCAGTTGTGCGTATGTATTCTCAGTTTTCGTTGTGGATGTGCTCGGCACAGACGATGTCGTTGTATTAAGCGCTGTTTTCGAGCCATAAATGCCTATCAAACTGGTTTCTGACTGRTGTGCCGACATTAGCTTCGACTGAAGCTGCGTTATCTTTTCGATGTTCTCGCGTAGCGAATCCTTACGTATAACAGATTTAACAGGCGCAATAGGTGATGTTGACAGCGTAGCTGTGACGACTTCGGCACGGAAAATGCGACCCTCGCTGCCACTCGTACTGCCACCGCCACTATCACTGGAGTTACCGAGGCTCGAGAGSGGTTTCATGGACAACGGCTGCAGCTGACGTTTACATGGACTACTTAGGCTACTTTCCGATTGTGCWGGCGACAACACTGTGCCACTCTCGTTGAGCAAGGCGGCGGTGGTCTCCTCCAACGTCGGCTCCAGTTGTTGTGAGCGCTTTAAATCCATAGTGGATTGTGACATAAACTTTGTGGGACTATTGCTAGCGTGACTGGGATGATAGAGATTACCACTGTGCGAGTTATTATGTGTGTCATATGACTGAGATCGACTGTAATTAGTTGCCTTGCCGGCAGTGTTCTCAACATTGTTGCTGTTGTAGCTGTTCATGGTCGCTGGCGTCGAGTAGCGGTGCTGTGTAGGAGGATATGCGGGGTAGCAATTAGGAGACATCGGTTGTTGCTGCTGCTGCTGTTGCGACGACGCCGACACAGTTGTTGTATTCAAGTTATTGTTGGAACCATAGCGTAATGGCGAAGCATTGGCGGATGTGGGAGATGCAGGCTGTGGCTGTAACTTCGCGCCCAATGGCAGCACATCTGGCAAATTATTTGGCATTTTACCATTATGTGTATTGAGTATATCGTAGGCGGCTGGTTTTGTATTTGCCACCAAATCCTCGTTTGAGGTGAGCGTGAGCTTATAACTGCCATGATCCGGATCTAAGTTGTTCAGCTTCTCAAGACTTTGGCGTGGCAAATACGAAGCCTTCGAGTTGCATCTGTGGAGCAGAAGAATAAGATAAAATTACATATTAGAATGTGCGCTCGAAGTATAAATTTAGTTGTCTATGTGGATAATTCATGTAATATATTTAAGTTATGCATGGTATGCAACTGGTCTAAGATATCTCCATCGTATTGATGTCAATTTGACGTTTTTATTTATATTTATTTTTATTTCTTTAAAACGCGTTGTTGTTCTGTAGGCGGCGGTGAAAAGTGCCAAGCGATGTTTAGTAATGGTTAATGGCTTGCACATTTGTACATTTGCGCAGTTGGTTTGAGTGGTATGCGCGCCAAAAAAGGTTGTACGCTACACATAGCATAGTTGATTGCTTTACTTTACTTTGCGGTTTGTTAGCTAACCTAGTCTTAGCGTATTCATAAATTGCTTGTATTCACACGCTCCCGTACCGTTGTCCAAGTGTAGGCATGTGATGCGTGTCTAGTATCCATTGACCGTATTTGGCTTAYTGTACGTTGCTTAGTTAGTTGGCTAAACATCTGCAATTCGGTGGCCAGCGCTCTGACAAAGCATTAAATACGGAAGCCCTGCATCACAACGCATTAGACAATCAATTTGTGGCTTTTAACCGTCAACAGAAAGCTTATAAATGAAATGAAGCACATACTTTAGTTTGTGGAATTTTTGGTTATGTAGAAGTAACGGGATTTCCATAAACGCATGAAGGAGTAGAGTTCCCAGACTACAGTAGTTGCAGAAAAGCAACAAAACCACATATTTTGGATTGAGTTGTATGTATACAAGTAGACAATTTAATTGAGTATATGCCATTCATTTTGTGCTTGAAAAAACCTTTTTGTRGAAGTAGGCGTCATTAAGAGTGGTTATTTTGGTTTGTAAAAGAGTGTCTGGTGGACAAAAAAGTTCGAAGATGAAGAACTGCAAGAACTACTCGATGAAAATTGTTTCCAAACCCGAGAAAAGCGCGAAGGATCTATGAGAGTCAGCAGCCCGAAACTTTTAAAAGCAAGATAATTGGGTGTCGCATGTACTGAAGTCAAGAGATGTAGAATGACGAATTTGCATGTCAAAACTGCTGACGAGTGCCTTTTAGTTGACATTTCATCCAGTCAATTTGGAACGCTCTAACTGGAATACGGTTCACATCAGAACTGTACCGTATGTTTTCATCCGTCTCAAAAAACGTTCCCACGACAGTCGGGTCTACGAAAACCGGAACGGACCCGGATTTTTATCCGGCCAAGGACTGTCAACTCAGCAAAATTCTGCCGTTACAACAACAACAACAACATCCGTCTCAAAACCCAGACTCTGTCCTTTCTTTTTATCATTTCTTTCCATTTCCAATACATCCATAAATAGCTAAAAATATATGAAAATATTTTAGCACCAGACAATATTTCGAATAATGTCATTGAACATGATTTTCTTTAATAAACGTTCAAATGTTGAAAAAAACACAAATATATATCCAATAAGAAAATCAATAATATTTAGATAAATCATTATTATTGTAGCACAAAGCAAACATTTGAGTTCAGGGTCCTTGTACTCAAACAAAAGTTCATTAAAAATGGCAGCAGTCAAGCCTATAGGCTTAAATTGAAAATTATCAAGATCGCAAGCAATTAAAAATTAACGTGAACTTCAGTTTCAGTTCCGCGACTTGTGTTATAGATCTTTTACTATTTGCACCAAGATACAACGACACAATTGCTATGCGATTCCACGATGATGATGTCGTAAGAAATATTATGGAAACTCAAAGGTTGACACAATCTGTCATCAAGGAAAAAAACTGCCAACTAGTAATTACCACCAAGTGTTCATACCCTTTTGCTGCCGACACAAGTAATTAAATTAAAATCGCGCAATAATTCACAACAAATTGCCGCTTCGTGCCAAGATGCCGCAGTTGAAGGAGGAAATTGATGCGCTGGCGCAGATCAAGTTGCAATCTCGATGCCTGACGCCAGATGGCCGCCGCATAAAGCAGTTGACTTKATTGCCRTTGTTATTTGATTARTTTYCTTTTTATTTGTAAAGGCGTGCTGCCAAGTGGCTGAGGAGTGTACGATAATATGCCAAAAATGCGGTTTGGCGGCTGGGTCACTTTCGACAACCGAATCCCCCACACACACATGCACGCATAGCGGAAGCAACTGTCGACTTAAAAATATAATTAATAAAAAGAAAAAATTATGCTGCGTTGTAATGAACCGGTAAAGCGGCGTATGCAACGACATTGACATGACAATAAAGCACCGTTACYTGCATGACACAAAGAAACGCGCCGTTTTTGGTTTTATTTTGRCACGCAACAATGAATACTTCAGSMTAYAAGCCACAACTGTGGGTTTTGCATCTGAATTTGCATTACTTAGTGCAAATGGACGAATGTGTAGAAGTGGCCRACGGCGTTTTGTCGCCGATACGACGCCGCCGCCTGTGTTCTGCGCTTGTCATAATATTATGTATGTTTGCCAGCCCCCGCAAAGTGCGCTGATCGTGCCAGTGAAATGTCACATTTGAGGTCACAGTAGGGGTCAAATGCGCCATTAACAACAGCCAGCTATCACGATTCGCTTAGGCGGTGTTTGGCAGATTTCGCAAACAGGCGTTGCAAAAAGCCGTTGGCTGGAGTCTTGTCGTCACCGTTATGCAGAGTGTTGCTGCTGTCACAAAATCTATGCAAATATTTCGTTACGCTCTTGTTTCGTCAGTGGCTTGCGACTTGGTTGTCGACAGGCTGGAGGTAGTTCGACCGCTTGCAACGCAGTGTATAAGATGGAGGCGCGTTAGAGTGCTGCCACTATTGTTGTTGTTGCTTTACAAAACGCTTTTGTTGTTGRTGGCAATATTTGTGCCACAAATTTTGGCTGGTACATTGATTAGGAGCGTCCATGATTTTTTTTCTTAGTATATGTTTTCTTTGTTATTTGTTTGTTATTGTTTCTTTGTGTTTTTCCAATTGTGGGTAGTGATTTGCTTGCGGTCACAGCTGTAGTGGTAAACGTAGCCGCAACCGCAAACGCTCCTTGTCATTAACATTACATTGTGGACATGACTTCCTGAACCGACATCATCGTGTGTAGATGTGGTAGGAGTGCAGCTAGGGGGGGAAATGCATATCACACAAAGATGCATATTAAATGCGGCAACGTCAAATGTACATCAAGCATATGTACGTCAAGTGTGCGATCGTGCCTAATATTGCAACCGTGATGAGCTCTGTTGATTTTGTCGGTGCGCTTATTGTTGTTTTGCCTGCCGGCTCTGCTTCGATAACCGCCTTATGGGTTGATTTGTCGGTGGTTTTGTGACTAATTAATGTTTGCGCTGCTTGCGGCGGCGTGGCAGGAAGCTTAACGCTTTCTTCCATACTTGAACTCACTTGAGCGCTGTTGCATCTACTGGCTATGCATGTGTTGTGCTGTACTGTAAGCTTTAGTAATTGCGTTGGTGGCCAAATGACAATTTCCTAACAGCCACTGGCTAAATGCAACAGACTAATGCGCGTATACTAGTCAACTGTTCGAGGCAAATGATCAGTGTTGATCGTGCAGCACATTAACGTGGTAATAACTGTTACTTGCGGGCATATAGGGTGTGTGAAATGGGCACTGAGTAGCAATGTGTTGTTTTTCTGAAGCACATAAAAGTTATTATGCGTTGGTGGTGTGGAAGAAAGTGAGAAAACGTAGTTTGTTGCACAAAGTTCATACAACACATTTTTGGTTAAATGAAGCTTAAAATCTCASCTGTCCAACACTRTATCGTATGACACAAAGKSATTGGYAGCAMCGGCGATATACGACTATAACGACATCTATTGACAAAATATGAAAAGTCTTTTTCGACTACSCAATGTATAAGATAGTRAAGTAAGTTATTGGGGTTTTTACTGAAAGTCAGTCCATTTCAGTGTTGTTTTATAAAGCGTTGCATTCTTTTATACTTTTTTTGATTATGTGTAAGTCTGAAAGTTGAGATTAGACTATGTCAGAACATTGAAATATATGTATATGTTTCTCAATAAATCAACGTCTGCTTTGAAATCAAGTATCAGCAATCATGTTTAGGATCGTCCCTAACCTCTTAACTTGAATTGTGTATACTTTTCATTTCTCTAAAAACATAATTCCTTAAGCTGACATCTTCAGCATTTAATCAACAATAAACTTTACAATCATTTCTAATTCAAACTTTCTCATTTCTAAATCAATAAAAGTGAATGATTGCAAATTTGCTTGCAAGAAGGCAAGAAGCGCATGCGCGCCAACCTATTGAAAGTTGCTAAAATAGCCGCAAGCCGCAAAAGCCTTGCCATCACAAAGCCATAAAAACCGCAACCACGACAGCCCTCAAAAAGCTACAACAAACAATTTAATGAAAATATAAAACAACAAAAAAGTCTGTCGTTGCAATCGCAATTGCAGTAGCTGACAAAATAAATTACCACATTAGCTTTTATTGTTATTGTTTTTGTATGTTGGCTGTTGGCGTTGCAGACGATGCTACCGTGTTTGGTTCTTTTTTCACATTTCATTCGTTTTATAAATCGCTTTTGCGCTTTTGTTGTAATTATTCTTAAGTTTCAACATTGCGGTTGCTGTTGTTTTTGCATTGTCTATATTGYTGCTTTTGTTTTTGCRGTTTGTTTATTTCTTGCTTCCGCAGTCATCTTCATCTCGTCGCAAATCGCGCTTTTTAACCATCTTCATTTCGATTTACAACAACAATACTAGCGTCAAAAGTATGAAGCAGACCACAGCTCAGCTGTAGCAACTCGCATTGTTGGTGCAACATCTTCCCCGTAGCTTMGCGTGTGAGCGCAACTGTTGTTGTTGTGTGTCAAGTCATTGGTGGATTGCAACAGATGCGCTTTAAAGTCATCGCAGCTTTCATACTTTTACTATATACCCAACAGTGAATTTATTGAGGCTGTAGTTTATTGAGAAATGCTAATGAATGATGTAAATATTGAAAAAACTTGCTACATTTGCGTAATTAAAAGCTTGTGTTTGAGTAGAGGTTTCTCGAATATGCTAAAATTTGTTAGGCTTTGATTCCTCAAAGTTGACCTAACGTTTCAAATTCAGCAAGCTTGTATTTGACACTGTTCTAAACTGATCTATCTTTTGAGCGCGTAGCCAATTTCTGAAAGCAAAGTGTTCTTCCATTTCTTTCGAATTAAAAAACATTACTATGCGTTGACCTCAGCTGGTCTAAGATCTGAAATGTCTCTTTCATTACTTGTTAAAGATTTCTATACCGCGATCTCTTGTGATCTTTATTTACATCAAGTGAGAAAACGACTCTCTAAATTTGTCTTTGTATAGATTTATAGTGTTGTCAGTTTAGGCATCCGCTATTTGTAGACTATTGTTCTTTTTCAAATATCCTTCTTGGAATGTGATGCATTATTGGACTGGCGGAATCGTAATCCTCATAATTTTGGTAAAATTTTTTAACGTTTCTGTTACTCTTCCCTTGCTCTCACTTATTATACTCTTTCTCTCTCTACTTCCCTCGCTCTCTCTTGATATACTTTTTCTCTCTCTATTGAGTTCGTTTACTCTCGGTATCACAAGCTTCACAAGTCTGGAAATTTTGATCTTGTGTTGACTCTACAGCTAAAAGCTTGTTATGATTATTGCAACATCCAGAAGCAAACATCGGATAATTTATAAAGTGTATATACATATAACATAAATGATCATCGTGATGAGCTGGGTCGATTTAACCATCTCTATACCCGAGCTAGTTCTTCAAGTCTTTGAGATTTCGATTTAAAAYTTTTCACACGTCTATTTTTYTTCAAGAACTTGCATATGTGACGTAACCGCCTATATAGGGTGACTATAGCATATAGCTGTCATACAAACTGAATGATTGGAAACAAGTGTTTGTATGGGAAACTTTTTCATTTGACAAGATATCTTCATGAAATTTGGTATGAGTTATTGCCATTTACAATGATACAATCTCTGAAGAATTGTTTCAGATCGCAACACTATAGGACATATGTAGCTGCCATAGAAACTGAACGATTGAAATCAAGTTCTGCTATGGAAAACTTTGACAATAATGCAATTTCTGAAGAAGTGTATTAGATCGGATTAATATAGCATAAAAAATAAAGATACAGACATTTTTATATGCAATCGTACAAAAGATAAGAAACGTAGCTGTGAAGGGTATTATATTTGGTTAAAGTTTTTTTTTTTTGCTTTACTTATGTTTTTCTTATTCTACCAACGAGCAGCTTGGTTTTCGTTTTCATTTTTTTGTTTACTATTTAACTTTATTCTTCAGCTGGCTGCCGCAGTTGTTGCAACATTGAGTGCAATTCAATTCAA